ACACAGGTGTCCAAGGACGAATTACAACCACCGAGGACAAAGAAATCAGCATTCTCCTCGTCCCCAAGGGCCAGAAATCGCATTTTTTCTTAGTCACTGACACTCCTACTGGAAGATTTTTATCACACATTGGACAACCCACATTTAATTTTGCATTTGTACTCATTTTTGGTAGTGATGCCACTGAAAGGTAGATTCTCTCATGTATTAGGTTTCTAGGGCTGGAGTAAGAAAGTACCACAAACTGGGGAGCTAAAGTGAAAATTATTGTTTCACAGTTCTGGAGGCTGTTAAGTCCGATATCAAGGTGTCAGGAGACTTGGCTCCTTTCGTGTGTGAGGGAGAATTTGGTTCATACCTTTCTTTTTGCTTCTGGTAGTTTGCTGGCAATCTTCAATATTTGATTTGTAGAAGCATCACCCCAATCTTTGCCTTCCACTACCCATGGTGTTCTCCCTGTGTGTGTCCAAATCTCTCCCAGCTTTATAAAAACTATGGACACTAGACATACTGAATTAGAGCCCACCCTATGACCTCATTTTAATTGGATTACCTCTGTAAAGATCTTATCTCCAAATGCGGTCACATTCTGAGGTACTGGGGGTTAGGACTCCAACCTATCTTTTTTAGGGGAAGACAGTTCAACCGCATAACACTGTAAAACACAAAGGTTAGATAGCATTTAAAGTCTGGGCTCAAAATTACATCAAATAAGAGATACCAGTAATAACTTTCCTAGTTCATGGTTTGATTATATTTCTTTGCCAAATAAAAAACACAGTATTAGTTTTGGGTTTTTAATACCCTCTGATAAAATGAATTACTTTCAGTAACTGTCATATACAGGAAACTTACCTGATGCAATGGCTAAAATTTGTATACCTATTGGTTAAAACGAGAACTCATCCACACTTTCTCAGAGACAACTTTAAAAATACCAAATCTTTTTTTGTTTTTTGAGACAGGGTCTCATTCTATTGTCCAGGCTGGAGTGCAGTTGTGCAATCTCTGCTCAGTGCAACCTCTACCTCCTGGGCTCAAGCAATTCTCATGCCTCAGCTTCCCAAGTAGCTGGGATTACAGGAACATGCCACCAAACCCTGGTAATTTTTGTATTATTATTTACTGATTGATTCAGAGTCTCACTGTCACCCAGGCTGGAGTGCAGTGGTGCAATCTTGGCTCACTGCAACCTCCCGGGTTCAAGTGATTCACCTGCCTCAGCCTCCTGAGTAGCTGGGATTACACACACACAGGCCATCATGCATGGCTAATTTTTTCTATTTTTAGTAGAGATGAGGTTCCGCCATGTTGGCCAGGCTAGTCTGGACATCCCGACTTCAAGTGATCCACCCACCTCGGCCTCCCAAAGTGCTGGAATTATAGGTGTGAGCCACCATGCCTGGCCTTAATTTTTGTATTTTCAGTAGAGACAGTTTTGCTATATTAAGATATTTACAGAGGTAATCCAATTAAAATGAGGTCATTAGGCTGGTCTCAAATTCCTGGGCTCAAGCAATCCACCTGCCTTGGCCTCCCAAAGTGCTGGGATTACACGTGTGAGCCACTGCACCTGGTCCCAAAACACCAAATCTGGATGTTTGGTGATTTTAAATATACGTATTTTGGTATCCAAAATACATCTCTGTAGTTCATGAGAATTAAGAGAGGTCTAAGACATACCTTGTTGTTGACGTAACTTGAACCTTTAAAATTTAAAATCCAAAAAATAAAATTGAAAAATGGGTTCTGTATGAATTTACCTTTTGCTATGTAAAGTAAATCTTAAGGTTTTCATCAGGGAGATTATCTGCCACTAGTAAATAAATGTACAAAATATGAATCACCAATTCATTATATTAAAATAAAAATAATTAACAATACTGACTATAACAAAACCTAAATCGAAAAATTTAGAGAATGGATACTCTGGTCTAGTAAAGTTTTGAAAGGAGTCCTAACACTAAACGCTTTTACTGTTCCTTGGCTGCTTGGCACATTGCCACACCTGTTTGAAGTTAATGATGGTGATGCCTTGTACTTTCCAGCATTCCACTGTCTCCAGACCTAGATCATCTTCTCGCAGTGTTTTCAATTTAACAGATCCTTACTTGGACTTACTTTCCAATGATTTTCATTTGAATGTGGCCTCAACCCTCAAAGCTCCAATTTAAAAATTCTGACTCTTTAATCAAAATAGAAATTTGATAATTTCTTATGAATCATATTCTTCTAAAGTTTTCAAACATAAAGGTTATGTTTTCTAAACATCTAAAGTAAAAACTTGCTAATTTTAATTATTTGACCAGAATTATTTCCTGTAGCTCATAAGGTCCGGAAGCTATTTTACATGAACAAAATCAAACACAAATAGTATTTACTATGCCAGGTACCTTTTTAAGGGCCTTACAGAAAATGGTTTGACACTTAAAGGCATTCTTATTACCGATGACAGATGAGGGAACTAAGGCACAAAGAAATTAAGCAACTTGCCTAAGGTGACACACAGTAATGGTGAAACTAGGATTCAAACCAGAGTTGTTGGGCTTCAAAATCTGTGCTCTCAATCACGTCATACTGCCACTCTCGAAGTAACACAAGAAAATGTTTTCTTTAGTTAAATTTTATGAAAGACAAAGGAAGATATAGAAATTCAAAGTTTCATTTCAGGAGCCACCATGAATTACGCTTTTACCTTATGTAAAAGTTATTTTATACATAGCTTTCACAAATATTATCTATTGTGTAGTTACATCAACATTTTTCAAATCCAAAGAATAAGGACATAACTCATACAAATCTATTTTAAATAAGACTTAAAATCAGAATTAAATTGATAAATGAAGTCATCTATTGAAAAAATGTTATTTTACATCCATTCTGGGTATTACCACAATTTCAAAAGTAGAAGCATAGCATTTGCCAGTATTTTTAAAAACCAAGTCAATACAAATTAGTCTGAAAGTTTTTGAAAATTAATAATTGATTTTCCCCACTACTTAACCATAACTGGAATAATCTTTGAAGAAACACTACTAGCAAACTTTAGACAAAAATTATAAAACCAGATTGTTGGCAGAAGACACAACAAAATGTAAGTTAGAAAATTCATAAACATACATTTATTCAGGAAATACAATTACTAGAATGCTTGATATTTCAATGATCATTCCACATTATAAAATATTCACAAACATGTAGTCTTTTAAGTCTACATCAGGTCATGCTGATATTCTTTTCTCATAATCCATAACGATTTCTTCTATTAAATGCTATAATACCCATTTTAATTGTAGACAAAGTACTTGAGCCAAATTACTTAAGTACTTGAGCAAAAGAACTTAAAAATCTTAGGAGGATAATGATATTTTTGAAAAACATATTTGAGGCCGGGTGTGGTGGCTTATGCCTGTTATTCCAGCACCTTGGGAGGCTGAAGTGGGTGGATCACGAGATCAGAAGATCGAGACCATCCTGGCTAACATGGTGAAACCCCGTCTCTACTAAAAATACAAAAAATTAGCTGGGTGTGGTGGCACACGCCTGTAGTCCCAGCTATTCAGTAGGCTGAGACAGGAGAATCGCTTGAACCAGGGAGGTGGAGGTTGCAGTGAGCTGAAATCGCACCACCGCAGTCCAGCCTGGGCGACAGGGCGAGACTCCATCTCAAAAAATAAAACAAAATAAAATCGAATCATCAAATCCTAAAGAACTAGGCTACTATAATCTAATATTATACTAACAAATGAAGTGCGCACATTAAGACAGCACATAATTATTAACGACAATATTTCTCATCTGCAATTTTTAAACATGCTTTCTCAAGTAACAATCACGTATTTTTGTAACTTTTAAAGGCAAAGGGGGCAGAATGATGACAGACATTAAAATATCACTTTTAAACTACTGGTAGATTTTATTTTTTAAAAAGAAAAAAAAAAAGATAAGACTGTAATTACTTCCCAAAGAAAGAAATTACTCAGCCAGGTGCAGTGGCTCACGCCTATAATCCTAATGCTTTGAGAACCGAGGAATTTCAGGCTTCAGTGAGCTATGATCATGCCACTGTGTTCTAGCCTGGGAGACAAGGCAAGACCCTGTCTCTTAAAAAAACAAGCAAACAAACAAAAACAACTAAGAAATATAATTAATTATTCAGTAGCTGCAAATTGAACTGTTCTATTCTGATACGTCCAAAACAGTGTCCAGTGTAATCAGATCATTTTATAATGAGTTCTCAACTCTAGGTGCCCTTTAAAACCACTTGAAAAGCTTTAAAAAAAAAAGTGATTTTCATTTAGTTGTTATGGGATAGAAGAACCCAGGTATCAATTTTTTAAAGCTCTGCCAGGCTTTCTAATATGTAGGTAAGATTGAGAATTAAGTCAATACATTTTGACATATCAAGAAAATAAATGGAAATAGTGGTGATAATTTATATTTGTAATTTACAAATCAAACATCTATATCATACACTTACTGTGTACCTAGTTTTATTCATGAATCAACCACTTCTAAGATAAAAATTCCCTTCATTTCCTCACTGCACTTAACCACCACTGTACATCTTTGCCAATGAATGACTATATTTTTCTATGGTCAAGATTTAAAATTACGGGATACATTATGAAAACTGCATTAATGAAAACAAACCAGTGCTACCCATACTCAAAAGCAGCAAGCTAAACAACTGTATTTGGTTCCTCTGAGCTACCCTTATTTTAAGAATTATAAATAGGTGTCAACCCACACAAAGAACAGATTGTGGATCACTGTAGGAAAAAAAATAGCTTACTCAACTTACTAAAAGTTTCAACACCAAAAGAGATTTAACTTGGCTGAAAGTTCTGAAACAGCTGAGACACCAAACCAGGAAGCTATAATTTATAACGAAATGTTGACACATCCTTAAAAGCTACTGCAGCTGTAGCTATACTAAAATAAGATTTCTTCAGGATTTACTTACCCTGAAATGCAAGAATACAAGCATAACAATAATATTACTGTTTTTATATGCACCAATACCTCTCTTTAATATATAAAGCTCTACAACAAATACCTCTAATAATTTTACAATTAAATTAAGTCCATACTTCTATACTACTTTGGTCTCAACATTTTAAAAACATCAATTAATTTTGAAAATATACAATTTAACAACATGATGCTATCAATAACAAGCACATTTTGTAGTGGATTAAAGACACATTCAACCATGCAATCCAGTGTTCAATACCTAAATGATGAATAACAATGCTGATTGACTTTTATTTTGAAAAATCATTGAAAACTGGAATAATTATCTGAGACTCACAGTGATCACAAACATGCAGATAAAAGCATACATTTCTATTCTTCCTGAAGGAATGTTACAAAATGCCCACTTTTTTAATACAGGGTTAATAATGATGCCAAATTGCTTACATATTTTCAACCCATTATCTTTTAACATTTGTCACTTAAATTTTGTTTAAAGTACAAATAGTCCTGTAAGTTGTGACAGAAAATGAACCTCAACTTTCAGTCTTTAAGACCTCAGCGACAGTCACGCACTAATAGCTGCCTTTTAGTAAAATGGTGACATCCAGTGGACCAATGAAAGAAAATATCTCTCAAATTCCCATATTTGAATAATAAAAGTTGCATCTCTAAATCCAACAATTTTAGGATGAGTTCCTATTTTGATGGAATCTACAAGATTCTCATGAATACATCACATCATAATTTCTATGTATCTTAAATATATTCTCTCTCCTTCCTACTTAAAATCAATTATTTAAACTGAGCTAGTAAGAATGTATACTCTTGAAGCTAGTGAGGTCAAAGGTATTACTTTTTCTTTACTTCAGCTACTTCCCACCACAAAATTACTGGTTCGTCTCTAGGAATGGAAGGACCAAAATATAGGGAAAATACTGTGTATTAAAATAAAAATGAAAAGCATTTAAAAAAAATTGCAAGAGATGAAATCTGAACCTGTTTTGCATTTGTAATTTGATATATTGTTGAATATAAATAGGGATGTAATCAGTAATGCTATTAATTACATCCTTTTGTCCCAGTGCTCAAATATTAAGAATACATATTTTAGCAATGATTGTTTCAATGTTTAAAAACTTACTTTTAAAAATCAGTACAAATGAATATCCATTATATATTATGTTTAAGTAAAAGTAAAAAAACTTGCACTGTGCTGAGTCATGATGTACCACTGGTTATATATATTATGTGTGTGTTCAAAGTACAAAATGCAGCAATGATGTTAACACTGACAGTGTAATGAACTGCTGTAAGTGAGACTGTTAGGTTTAATTTCTTGGAAAACTGTAAAGAAATGTTACAGGTTAAAAAAACAGAGTAAGCAAAAAAAGAATTGGAGAACTGTACTTTTAAATCAGCAGCCAAATGAAGAAAACTTTTCTTTTCTAAAAAAAGATTAAGAATGTAAAAGTACATTTTAATATTAAAAAAGCATTTTAAAAAATCTATAACAACTTTATGACAAAATCTGCATTTGAAAAAGGCCTGTAAAAACAGTAGGACAGAATTGCCCTCATCACCTTTTACTTTTTCTTGTCAGAAAAAAGAGTATGCATCTCTGGAACCATAAATGATGTTAAAATAGGCATTTATAAAATGGCAAGGAGAATTTTCATGATAAATTTGTTTGTTTTTACAATCATTGGCATTGCAGCCATCAGTAAGTCACAAGGAAAACATCTCTAGCTAAAATGCAAAATGAAATATCAAGTTTTGAAATGTATTAGGTCTGTTGCCTGCGTTTTGCTGATCTCATTTTTTCAAAGCGCGACTCCATTTCTTCCAAGACTTTGGGTGTATATCGCACCACTAATTTAACCTTTCCTTGTGCAGCTTTCAGCAGTTCTACGGCTTTTTCATGATGCTCTCCTTCAACACTCTAGGGAAAAAAAAAGACACTAATATCTAGGTTTTGAAATTAACTCAAAATGCAAAAATGTTTAAAATATATATAAGAAAGTTTTAATGTTATATTATTCCAACACTATAAAACTAAAAAATAATCCTGTTTTACCATTTTAAAATATATGAAATCCTCTCTTACATCATATTCTGGCTTTAAGTCTCAAATAATTAGTATATCAACCTATATGCCTTATTATTTCAGTACATCAAGCAATTGCTATTTTATAAAAGTAAAATGAGGGTAGGCTTCTAATTTAATGTTGCCTTTAATGAAGAGCTTATGTCATTAAAAATTACACTGAGCACTGCTAATTCACACTGCAAAATACACTTACAGTGCTTTGAGAAAAAAAAAGGATTACATTCCTCAAGGCATTTCTAAACCACAAGTTTCTTAGGTTTCTCCTATAACTCAAATATGCCCCCAGGTGGTCGTAGCAGATCACTACAAATAGAAATAACTTCATCCTTACCACTCCATTAACAGAGAGGAGTTGATCTCCTCGTTTGAGGCCCCCATGTCTATCAGCAATTCCACCTGGAATTATTCGAGATATATAGATCGGAGAGTTTTGTTCTTTGCCTCCCATAATATTGAATCCAAGGCCCTCTTCTGTTTTTGGTAGCTCTACAACTCGAGGATGAGAATGTCCTTCACTAGCAGCAAATGCAGCAACAGTAGCCTGAAAGGAAGTTTTGTGTATTAAAAATATGACTTTTATTTACCTCGGTCCTTTTACTTTTGAGCACATATTTTTGATGTTTGAATGCTCACAAATTCACTGGTGATTCTGAGAAGGTAAGCTAAACAGATGGCACTTTAGAGATGACAAATGAGTAATTAATTCTGAGTTAACACAGGAAATATTACGATTTTTCAGGTCACTCCTAGCCATGCAGTGCCCAGTCTTTTGCAGAGTCCCATATGCACAGGGCTTGGCAGCAGACTTGCTGGGCAGATGGACATTGTATATGGTGAGGAGGAAAACCCCTCCCCCAGCATGCCAGCAGCCCTGAGCTTTAGGTCTGGATCGCCCAACTCCTTTCGGGAGCCTTTGTGCAGGACACAACCTACCCATATAATCGACATGGAGTTGTCCTTATATGTAATCATTTTGGCTTCTATACTATTTGTACTACATACTAAATAACTAAGATGTCAAGAAATAACTCAATATTGTGAAAAAGAGGGGTACATATAGCCAATCTGAATGTTTTGTTCCTTTTTTAACTAGTCACAACTAAAAATCCCCACAGAGCCATATCTTTTTTAAGGCTCAAATTTAGACTAATCCAAATTAATTACAAAGTTGAGATTAACGGTAATTATCTCATTTTTTGGTGATGGATCACAAAAATAGAGAAAAGGAAAGAAACCAAGATTTACTGAATACTTGTTATCTTCAAAGCTCTGAAAAAGGTCTCATTTTTCAGATAATGGAACTAAGGCTCAAAAATTCAGCAGGCTGTGAAAGTCACACAACTCAGCGATTAAAACCAAGTTTCTCTGGTCTTTCCTACATCCAAAAGTTTTAAGTATTTGTATTCAACAAAGAATCCAATTATTTCCTTTTGTGAGCCAATAACTATCCATAAAGAATTATCTGCTAATGATTAAGTTACCAACTGCTGATATTACCCTGTTCAAACCAACTGTCATGAATACTGAGGTCAATATCTGAATTATTTGAGGAAAACAATGACACACAAATGCACATAATGTAAAGAAGAAAGCAAAAATCAACCCGGGGAAGTACCCCAGCTCTATCGTATGCTTTTTGTGTGGTTTGGGGCAAATAACCTAATCTTCATGCTTCCTCATTAATAAGATGAGGATAGTAATTCATGTCTTAGAATTTCGAATAGATTCTGATAATATTATATAGTATTGTATATAATATATGCAACACAATTATGTATTACACGATACATATTGTGTGCAAGCATATTTCTTTTTTCCTTTTTTTTTTTTTTTTGAGATGGAGTTTCGCTCTTGTTACCCAGGCTGGAGTGCAATGGTGTGATCTTGGCTCACTGCAACCTCCAACTCCTGGGTTCAGGCAATTCTCCTGCCTCAGCCTCCTGAGTAGTTGGGATTACAGGCACGCACCACCATGCCCAGCTAATTTTTTGTATTTTTAGTAGAGACGGGGTTTCACCATGTTGACCAGGATGGTCTCGATCTCTTAACCTCGTGATCCAACTGCCTCGGCCTCCCAAAGTGCAAGTATATTTCTAATGCATTATCTAAACTACATAAAGTAGCTTATGTAATACCAATAAAAACAAACGTCTTATTTCTTAGTACTTAAGAAATTTGGTGTAGCTTTAAAGATACATGTTACTCTTCAAAATAAGTTTACTATGAATTTAATAATTGCGTATTTTGAACTTCTAATTTATGAAGAATTCTTACTTTTGGTAAACAAAAAAAATTTACCTTTGCAGTAGCATTTGCTCTCACTTCGGGACTGCTACTGATGTCCACAGTCTCATAGACATGTTCATATACCTGTAAAACCCAAAGTTATCACATCTCAGAATACACCACGCTTAAGATCTCTGTGAAGTTAATGAATGAGTTAAAATTTTAGGCAAAGTTATTCATCTTTATGTTTTTTCTATCAGAAATTCAAAAAATGAGAGAGACTGGTTTTAATGTTTTCTAAAGTTTTTAAGAAATTTTGAAGCCAAATTTAGAGTATTATCTGACCTAATTAACTCAAATTTTTAGCAAATTTTAATGAAGTTTGCTCACCTCTCTCACAGCATTGCAGAACTCACTTTGAAGGACTCTTTGTAAAGCCTGAAGTTTCTGTGGTGGTACTTCTCCACTCCTTTGTAGTTTTTCCAATAATTCAATTGCTCTACAAATATCTAGAGTTAAACACACACACAGATAATTTTCTCCAAGGGTTTTCTCAATGCTTATGTAACAGTGTAGCAGTTAGGATTCATTCCTCAAGGGCTAATAATATACAATAGTGGGGAAAAAAAAAGCACTGAATTTGCAGTTTGGTGGGGAGGAGATTATGCGTGTGTACACATGTAGAGGATGAGAATGTAAAATGTAAGAACACTAAATTTTACGAGAGATAAGAAAAACTACTGAAGTTCCAGAAGCATAAAATTTAGAAAATAAGACCTTGGAGAAACAAAGGCAAAATGAATACAAAATATCAAATGTCATCGGAAAGGATGGTGACTCAAATGTGACAGATAGATGAACACTGTACTGCTTCAGAAAAGCTGGTGATATTTTCAGAAACCAGTCAATAAAAATTTATTGACTAATTATCATTATTAGTAACCAAAGCAAGTCACTATAAGCTAGCAAAATCACTCTTCATTTCTCAAAGGAAACATGATAAATAGGTAGATAACCATTCAAGAGCAGATGCAGTTAGTGGCAGGGACACATTGAAAACAACCATAAAAATGCATAAAACTAGCAGTACAAATGAAATAAACTCATTTGTTTTCAACTTAATTAACACTGTTAATTCAAACAAGCTCAAAAACCCATGTTTACGAAAAAGAAAAATAAAAACAATTAGCTTTGTCAATCTGGTCTCAATACTACCTGTGTGACCTTGGGCAAGTTATATGACCTCCTTATGTCTCAGTTTCTTTCACTGTAAAATGGAAATAACAGTATCTTCCATATAGGAGTAATGAAGAAGAGTTATGAGCTCAATTAATGACTGAACCACAGAATACATAAAAAAGGGCTTAGCAAGCAAAAATGTTATGTTACACTGGTACCAATTAATCTTAAGAAATATTGGCCAGGCATGTTGGCTCATGCCTGTAATACGGGCACTTTGGGAGGCTGAGGTGAGCAGATCACCTGAGATCAGTTCAAGACTAGGCTGGCCAACATGGTGAAACCCCATCTCTACTTTAAATAAATAGATAAATAAATTAGCCAGGCATGGTTGTGGGCGCCTGTAATTGCAGCTACTTGGGAGGCCGAGGCAGGAGAATCGCTTGAGCCGGGAGGCAAAGGTTGCAGTGAGCTCAGATTGTGCCACTGCTCTACAGTCTGGTTGACAAGAGTGAAACTCTGTATCCCAAACAAACAAACAAAAAACTAAGATTGCATACATTTATACAAATATATGAAGCATGTTAGGGAATTCTCATTAAGAAGTGTCAGCATACATGTTTTATTAATTGAGACATTTTAGAAGATTCAGGAGGTCAGCTATAACACTGTTAACTATCTCTACTTTGATTTTTTTTTTCCCCCAAAAACTGTTTTTGTACCCCAGGTGCTATAGTGCCCAGTATTTTATTATTGCTTTGCTTCCTTTTGACTTAAATGGAAGAAGTTCCTGATTTCATGTTATATTGAAGAACAGGAATTTTTTTTTTCTTTTTTTAAAAAGAGAGAGTCTCGCTATGTTGCCCAGGCTCGAGTGCAGTGGCTATTCACAGGTGCGATCCCACTACTGATCAGCACGGGAGTTTTGACCTTCTCTGTTTCCAACCTGGGCAAGTTCACCTCTCCTTAGGAAACTTGGTGGTCACCTGCTCCCAGGAGTTCACCATATTGATGCCGAACTTAGTGCAGACACCCGATCGGCATAGCGCACTACAGCCCAGAACTCCTGGACTCAAGCGATCCTCCAGCCTCAGTCTCCCAGGTAGCTGGGGATACAGGCATACGCCACCACGCCTGGCTGAGAAGTTTTCTTTATATAGTGTGGCCATCTTTGTGTTTGCAGACAAAAAACTATGAATACATGCAGTAAAGATACTTATTTATTTGAGACCAGGTCTTCGTCTGTTGCCGAAGCTGGAGTGCAGTGGTACAATCTTGGCTTACTGCAACCTCTGCCTCCAGGGTTCAAATGATTCTCCTGTCTCAGTCTCCTGAGTAGCTGGGATTACAGACACCTGCCACCACGCCCGGTTAATTTTTGTATTTTTAGTAGAGACGGAGTTTCACCATGTTGGTCAGGCTGGTCTTGAACTCCTGACCTCAAGTGATCTGCTCACCTCAGCCTCCCAAAGTGCAGGGATTGTAGGCGTGAACCACCATGGACTGGCCAGAAAACAGATTTTTAAATTTGAGATAAAGCAGGCTTAAACTTAAAAAATTAATCAAATGCAATGGAAACAAACAGACCTTCACCATTCTGATTTCCCATTACCAGAATGACTAATAAATGAAGACTGTTCGTTCATCAATCATTTTGATTTATAAAGTTATAATATGTAAGCCATATAAAAATTTCTAGTTAACAAAAAAATGGAAAAAAGTAAAATGCTTTTGACTAAATCTAAACTGTACCTAACATGTGCTCAAATTTTGTGTTTCATTAAAATCATATTTTGATGATTTAGAATGGATTCTAAATCATCATATGTGATCAGGTACTGAACTGTAACTGTACTGTAGGATTTTCTACTGTAGGACTGTTGGGAGTGTTTGTTAATAGAGTCTGTTAGAATTCTAATTAAGAATTAGACTTCTAGGCCGGGCGCAGTGGCTCAAGCCTGTAATCCCAGCACTTTGGGAGGCCGAGGCGGGTGGATCACAAGGTCGCGAGATCGAGACCAACCTGGTCAACAAGGTGAAACCCCGTCTCTACTAAAAATACAAAAAATCAGCTGGGCATGGTGGCGCGTGCCTGTAATCCCAGCTACTTAGGAGGCTGAGACAGGAGAATTGCTTGAACCCAGGAGGCGGAGGTTGCGGTGAGCCGAGATCGTGCCATTGCACTCCAGCCTGGGTAACAAGAGCGAAACTCCGTCTCAAAAAAAAAAAAAAAGAATTCTAAATATAGTTTAGCTGCTAAATGACAACCACTAGTACAGTTGTCTCGATAACCATGGGGGATGTTAGGCCCTTCTTCGGATACCACAGATATCAACATCTGCAGATGCTCAAGTCTCTGATATAAAATGTAGTATTTGCATATAACCTATGCATATTCATGCTCCATACTTTAAATCATCTCTAGATTACTTACAATATCTGATGCTATGTTAATAGTTGTTATATAACATTATTTTTGTCATTGTTGTCGTTTTGAGATGGAGTCTTGCTCTGTCGCCCAGGCTGGAGTGCAGTAGCACGATCTTGGCTTACTGCAACTTCAGCCTCCTGGGTTCAAGCAATTCTCTGCCTCAGCCTCCCAAGAAGCTGAGATTACAGGCAACCGCTACCACACCCGGCTTTTTGTATTTTTAATTAAGAAGGGGTTTCACCATCTTGACCAGGCTGGTCTTGAACACCTGACCTCGTGATCCACTGACCTTGTGATCCACCCACCTCAGCCTCCCAAATAGCTGGGGTTATAGGTGTGAGCCAGGCCATACCACATTGTTTAGGTAATAAGGACAAGACAAAAATGTACACGTTCTGTACAGACAGGATTTTTTTTCTCTGAGTATTTTCAATCTGTAGTTGGTTGAATTCATGTAGGTGGAACCCATGGATATGGAGGGTTGACTGCAATTCATCCCTCTAAGGGGCTGAGCCTTTACCGAAGAACAGAAAAGGAAAACAAGCCTGTAACAGCACAAAACAAAGCCATGACTATCAAAACTAATTGCCACATGAGTTCCACATTTTGTGCTGCATTTAAAAACACAGAAAACCGGCTGGACGCGGTGGCTCACGCCTGTAATCCTAGCACTTTGGGAGGCCGAGGCGGGTGGATAGCCTGAGCTCAGGAGTTCAAGACCAGCCTGGGCAATATGGTGAAACCCGGTCTCTACTAAAATACAAAAAAATAGCCAGACGTGGCGGAGTGCGACTGTAGTCTCAGCTACTTGGGAGGCTGAGGCCGAATTGCTTGAACCCAGGAGGCGGAGGCAGCAGTGAGTGAGATCGCGCCACTGCATTCCAGCCTCTCTGACAGAGTGAGACTCTGCCTCCGGGGGGAAGACCACCAATATGTTAGAATCTTACAACTAGCTTTCAAAGAAAAACTCCTACTCATATTAACACCAGACAGATTTGCTCCCATCTATAAAACACAATGCCATTGTGCTTAAGAGAAAGATGTCAGTCTGTTCCCAGAGTAGCTAGTCCTGTCTAAAATGACGTTTTAATAGGCTTAAGGGAAAGAATCTCATTTACTATGACGCTTCCAAATGGTGAACACTATAAAGAGCAAATCAGCAATATTAAGTGCACATTTGTTTGTGGGGAGGCATTAGGAAATGAGGTTTTTCTAAGTACAGTAATTCTAAAAATGTGTTTTCTTAGGGAACAATAGTAACGCTCAGACTGTAACTGCAAATGTTAATATGTGCAATATAATTTTAGTCTCTATCCTACACTCTTTTTTTTTTCCACCAGAACTCAAAATATTTACTCTTGCTTCTTAACTCCTATCAATGACTTCTAATGCTGGTGTATGAAAAGCATGCTTGAAATTGTTTGAAACAAAGGATTTAGGGACAGAGTGAAACGCTGGAATGCTGGAAATCTGGTAGGCGCATAGCCAGTTATTTTCAGTCTTCTCTATCTCTAAGTACTCAGCAGAGGAGGCTTTATTTTTCTTGACAGTCTGCTCTAGGAAGAATCAACCAACCAGTTTGCAACTGTGGGTTTGTAAGAAATTGAAAGCCTTGCACCTGCAAGTGTTTTAGCATCTACCACTATTCTGCTTACTTATGTAACCTCCTTCCCAAGACCAAGTCAGTAGGATTGTTTTTAAAGCAACCTCTCCATTTCTGGGAAGGGCACAGAAGCTAGCAAATACCCCAACCCAAATACAAGTGAGGTTGTGGAGAAAGTAATGAAGTCTGTGTGTAAACAAGGGGGAAGGGAGGTTGAATCTGTTGAATTGTACCGTGTGTCCGTTCTCGTGTTGTACAGGCAATGAATGTAGTCTGTGCGAACTGGGTGTGTGACGTTTGCTTTTCAGGGGGACGGGTCTCCGAATGCTGCTTATGCTGTACCCACCAAGGGAGCGCGTGTGCGGCGTGTGTCTGCGAAGCTGGCAGGTTATGTTTAGTTGTGCTGTGCCCCGGGGCAGTGCGTGTTAACAGAGGAAGGCTTTGAGTATCAGTTGAAAGACCGTAAGCGTCCTTCCTAGAGCCAGGCAGAGACATCGGCGGCCTCTGGCGCCAGCGCAAGGGACAGCCTGGCTCCGGATCTCAAAGCCTGGGTCGCCCCTCCTCCCCTCCAGCGACCTAGCACTTCTTCAACCCTACCGCCCACCTCCGCCGAGCTTCGGCTGCACTCACCCCTCTCCAGCCGCACAGGTTCCCCTAGCGCCGCCATCTTCTCCCTTAGCCTACAGACCCACAGGAAATGACGACAGAAAGGCTGAGGTGGAGAGGCGGGGCCTACCGGAAGCCGGAGAAGTGCGCGCCGGTAAGTATCGCGAGATCAGGAGGGTAGCCGGGGCTTTCGTAGCCGCCGTCAGGGTAAGGGTACCAGGGCTTGCAGATTTTGAGGTTGGCCTGGCTCTGCTCTTTCCGCGGCCTCCTAGAGTCGGAAGGAGCTGCTTTCCTGACTCTGTTCCCTGCTTTGGGCTTCCCTTATCCTAACCCCTTCGAACCCTTGGCTCCACGCAGAGGAGTCAAGTAGTGGATTCTAGTCCCACCTTGATCTTGACCCGGGACTGTTCATTTACCCTCTCTCGGCCTCAATTTCCGCATCTGTACAACGAGAACTTAGGTGCTTTCAATTTTTAAACTCTGGGATTCGGTGGCAATTAAGTGTGTAATGACATGTTGTCAATTCTCAATTTGTGACAGTGTTGCTTTAAATTTAAAAATCCACGTGTTGAATCTTCCCTCCAAATCTGTTTAAGGGTGAAAAGTACAAAGAACATGAAACATATCTGGGTGAGGGAGATAACAAGGTGCCTTGGCTGCACCACAAAGTAACAATTTTATAAGCAGATGATTCTTATAAAAGCTTAAGTAAATGAAATATTATGAAGCAAATAATAAATTCTCAGTGCATTACAGATTCTTTGAGCCAATTCTGAAAATTTCGTGAACCAAGAAAAATTTTACTATTTGCATTTGACTAACATTTACCCAAGCCCTTAGTCTGCACTGATACTGTGGTAGGTGTGTTTACATCCAACATTTCAACACTTCATGATAGGACTGTTTTAATAACTAGTTGCCCCTGGTCCTCCCTTTCCATTCACCTTTAGTATTTTTCTTTTCCAAATCCACCATGAATGCCACTACTATGCTCCTTTTTCTCCCATGGAATTCTGATTTCATCATCACAAGTTCGTTCAGAAACTTTCAATTGTTTCTCTCCTATTTTCTATTTCTAAAGCCTTGTATACTCTAACCCTAACTCATCCAAGTAACCTTTCTCATTACCTCTAGGTGCAACCACCACTTCAGTCCAGGTGGTATATTTTCAGTCATGTTTATTCCTGGTTCTGTCTTTTTGCTTGTTTTGGAGACATTGTTTATTTCCGTTTCCCAGACTGGAGTGCAGTGGTGCAATAATAGCTCACTAAACTTGGGCCCAAGAGAGCCTCCTATCTCAGCCTTGCAAGTAGTGGGGACTACAGGCAAGCACCACCATGCCTGGCTAATTTTTAAATTTTTAGTAGAGATAGGGGTCTTGCTGTGTTGCCCAGGCTGGTCTTGAACTTCTGAGCTCAAGCAGTCCTCCTGCCTTGGCTTCCCAAACTGCTGGGATTACAGGTGTGGGCCACTGCACCAGGCCCCAAATCTTCATTTATGTTGTTCTTGTGTGGAATGCCCTTCATCCACTCTTATTCTCCAACCTTTGTGCTCACTCAGTTGAATCCATTTCATGGGTCCCTGCTGAAAACATGCCACTTCTACCAAGCCTTCTCTTCATATTGTTCCTCTTTTTTGTCCTCAGATGGCCTAAATACCCTGCGATAACAGTCAGGTGCTTATTTCTTACTCATTGTTGTCATATCTTCTGGTGCAAATGTGTTTAAGAAATGTTTATTAAACATCTAATATATACCAGGTGCCTTGATAGGAATACCAGGTGGAGCAAGACAAATGCAAACATTGCCCTTATTTCTTCAAATATTTTTTTCTTTCCATTCTTTTGCTCAGCTCCTTTGGTGACTACTGGAGTCATTTGGATGGGCATAGTATACATGTATATTGAGTTACCTGGCATTGTCTCACAGCTCAGTCATGATCTGTTCATTTTGTTTTTCTTTTTTTTTCTCAAGATTTTCTTTGTGTTTCGTTTTGGATAATTGCTATGTTTTCATGTGCATTAATCCTTTTTCAATATCTAATATTGAAATCCTGTCTAGTTTATTCTTCATATAAGACATTGTAGTTGTTGCCTCTGCCAGTTGGATTTGGGTGTGGGTGTGGGTTTTACATCTTTTTTTTTGGAGACAGAGTCACTCTGTCACCCAGGCTGGAGTGCAGTGGCATGATCTCAGCTCACTGCAACCTCTGCCTCCTAAGTTTAAGCAATTTCCTGCCTCAGCCTCCCAAGTAGCTGGGATTACAGGCATCTGCCACCACACCCAGCTAATTTTTCTATTTTTAGTAGTGATGGGGTTTCACCATCTTGGCCAGGCTGGTCTTGAACTCCTGACCTCATGATCCACCCACCTTAGCCTCCCAAAGTGCCGGGATTACTGGCATGAACCACCATATCTGGCTGGGTTTTACATATTTTATGTCTTAACATGCTCAATCTTTTCTGTAGCTTCTTAAATGCATAGAATACAATTATAATGTCAGTATTGATTGATTTTTCTCTTCATTATGGCTCATAATTTCCTGTTTCTTGCATGCCTGGATTTTTTTTTTTTAACAAAATGCTAGACATTGTGAAATTTACTTACTTGAAAAACAATTTTATTCTTTTGGGGTTTGATTTTTTTTTAGGTGGAACCAATTCAGTCTTTTATGTAGGGCTAATTGAATCCCACTGCTAAGGCAATACCCTTCAAAGTTCCTTACCCCATGTGAATTCTGTGGTTTTTCTACTTTGGTAGGAACAAGAACTATTCTTATGAACTCTGGTAGTTTATTTATTCTTTTTCTCTTCCCCCTCCCCCTCCCCTCCCTCTCCTTCTCCTTTCTTCTTCTTCTTTTCTTCCTCCTTCTCCTTCTCCTTCTCCTTCTCCTTCTCCTTCTCCTTCTCCTTCTCCTTCTCTTCTCCTTCTCCTTCTCCTTCTCCTTCTCCTTCTCCTTTTTTGAGATGGAATCTCACTCTGTCACTGAGGCTGGAATGCGGTGATGCATTCTCAGCTTACTGCAGCTTCTGCCTCCTGGCTTCAAGTGATTCTCGTGCCTCACCCAGCCAAGTATATGAGATCATGGCACCTGTCACCACACCCTGCTAATTTTTGTATTTTTAGTAGAGACAGGGATTCACCATGTTGGCCAGGCTAGCCTGAAACTCCTAACCTCAAGTGATTCGCCCACCTTGGTTTCCCAAAGTGTTGGGATTACAGGCATGAGCCACTGCACCCAGCCCATGTAATCATCATAAAATTTCAGAATCCCAGGAATAAGTAGAAGATCCTGGAAGTTTCCAGAGAGGATAAAAAGTCATATTATAAGGATTGGAGATCAGATCAAGATTGTACTTCTCCTCAGCAGCACTGGAAACTAAGACACAGAGAGCAATTAAATTTATGGAAAAAGTTATTTGCAAACTAGAAGTCTACACCCAACTGTATTAGGTTTCCAGGGCTGCCATAACAAGATACAACAAACTGAGTGACTTAAAACAATATTTACTGTCTCACACTTCTGGAGGCTAGAAGTCAGAAATCAAGATGTCATATGCTCTCTGAAAGTGTGGAGGATTCATTCCTTCTCTCTTCCTAGCTTTCTGGTAGTGTGCTGTCAGTCCGGGTGTTCCTTGGGCTGCAGCTGCATTACTTCAATCTCTCTTGTCATTATCACATGGCATCTTCCCCTGTGTATCTGTCGTCAGCTGGTTGTCATCTTATAAGAGCTCCCTACTCCAGTATGTCCTTATCCTAAATAAATTATATCATCAATGATCCCATTTCCACTTGAGGTCACATTTTCAGTTTCTGGGAGTTAGAACTTTTATTTATTTATTTCATTGAGGGGAAGAGATACAGTTCACCCCATAACACCAAGCAGAGTATCAATCAGGTATGAAGGAATAATAAAACATATTTTACACATGTAAGTTCTAAAAAATGTTAATCTTCCATACGTACTTTCTCAAGAGCTTCTAGAAAATGTGCTCCATCAATAGTAGGAAGTTAGCCAAGCCGAGTACAGTAGCTCATACCTGTAGTTCCAACTACTCAGGAGGCTGAGGTGGGAGAATCACTTGAGCCCAGGAATTTGAGGCTGCAGTGAGCTATGATTGTGCCACTGCACTCCAGCATGGCTGACAGAGTGAGACCCCATCTTAAAAAAAAAGTTAGCTGGCCGGGCACAGTGGCTCATGCCTGTAATCCTAGCACTTTGGGAGGCTGAAGCAGGTGGATCACTTAAGGTCAGGAGTTTGAAACCAGCCTGGCCAACATCAGGAAACCCCATCTCTACTAAAAATACAGAAATTAACCAGGAGTGGTCGTGGGCACCTGTAATCCCAGCCCCTCAGGAGGCTGAGGCAGGAGAATCACTCAAACCCAGGAGGTGCAGTGAGCTGAAATTGTGCCACTGCACTCCAGCCTGGGTGACAGAGCAAAATCTGTCTGGGAAAAAAAAAAAAAAAAAAAGTTAGCCAAAAAAGGTATATGTAATCCAAGAAAAAGAGGATCCAATATAGAATAGATTAAGGTGATTTCAGAATGACTGGTGTATTAGGGTGCCTCACAGAAATAGAACCAATAGAATAGACATATAGAAAGGATTTTTTATGAGGAATTGGCTCAGGAGACTACAGAGGCCAAGAAGTCCCATAATTTGCTGTCTTCAAGTGGGGGACCAAGGAAAGATGGCGTTAGTTCCAGTCCAACCCTGAAAAACCAAGGCCTGTAGCCTCTGGTTTAAGTACTAGTCTGAGTCCAAAGACCTGAGAACCGGGATCACTGGAGTCCAAAGCAGAAGAAGGACCTCTGAGCTCAAGTAGAAAGAGCAAATATGCCTTTCATCTGTCTTTTTGTTCGATCTAATCTTCAGTGGATTGGATAATGTCTGTTCACATTCGTGAGAGTGATCTTTACTCAGCTTACGGATTAGAATGCTAATCTGTTCTAGAAACTTCCTGACATACTCAGAAATAATGTTTTACCAGCTATCTGAGCCTACCTCAGCCCAGTCAAATTGACACCTAAAATTAATACACCACAATTGTGAAGGGAAGCCTAGGGTAGCAGACATGCAGCT